CAGACCTCCAACCTAGTGAATTGGATTTGTTGCTTTAAGAGACTGTACTGGGGCTTCAAATGGAATCATTATTTTGCATACGGTATAATATTTCAATCCTGTCATTCTACTGACGCCATCTAATATAATAGAAACAAAACCCCGAAAAAAGCTCTGTGTTTTACTTGGCCTGTGAAAGCATCATCTGTGCCAGCTGATACTGAGGAAATACCAAAGCAATCAAAGTCATAGTTTTTAATTAGAACTTCACACGCAACTTTTTTCAAGGCTTGGCCGTTCCTGCCGGAAGAATAACAGGGGTACTGAGCTCTTTTTTTTCTCTTTTAACCCCATATGTGCATATGGCAGCACAAATTACAGGTTAGTAAAGAGTTACCCTTCTTATCAGCTTCAAGTACTAATAGTTAATTCATAATCTGTTCACATATCTCTGTGGTATTCTACCAAGTGCCCTCTAGTGTCTAAATTAAAAATCTCTATATTATATATTTTGACTAAAATATGGAACAGCAATTCTGTAATTATATTTAAAATCCATTTAGAAAATTACTTTTAATTTATTTCAAATATGTTCTCAGTGAAAATAAACCATATTTTATATTTAGAATCCACTCATTAGGGCCACATCAGCACTGTCAAATCAAAATACTATTGAGTAAAAATTACATGTTGTTTTCCCATTTTACCTACTTCTCCCAACCTCCTTCATGCAATCTAAAGCTTAGGTGGTCTTGAACATATCCACTGGTCTACAATTTGGCAAAGAGCATGTTTAAAGTCACTAAAGACTGCAGAAAATCTATATTTTTTAACCATTGAGATCTGATGGATATTCTTAGGGGCGTCCCCAGGCGTGGTGTCCCCCGGAGCGGCCGCCGGGTGACACCCCTCTGGGACATCATCACGCATGCGGTGATGGATGCCAGCAAAGAGAGGAGGGACGTTCACCTTCCTCTCACGTGCAACTGTTGGGCTCTCGGTCCATGACCGAGTGCCCGACTTTTCAGAGGGGGGTGACACCAAAATGACAGTCACCACCTCCGATGATGTCACCTGGTGCGGCCCACACCCCCTTGTGATACCACTGAGTATGCTTCCATTGAAAGAGAGAGCAGTAAGGTACAGTACTGTGCAGAACTAATAAGAGTGAAGCAGAGCCTGCTATGTAACAGCCCATATAATCAGCAAATTTGGCTGCCCACATGTACATATATTATTTATGACTCCTTTTAAAAAACAAACACACACTAAAAAAATTACTTATGTTTATCTCTTTCAAATGAAGATCTAAAAAAAAAAAAAAATAGAACACAGTTCCACTTTAAGCACTTCCCTTAGGGTCAGCTTACATTTGAGAGTGTGCCGTTCCGTGGACTCTTATGTCACCATAGCAAGAATGCAATGGTTTACAGCAGTGTACTCCCTTTCCTCTTCTTCAATGCACCGCTAGTATAAAGCATAATATCATGCTCTTCTGACCCGTCTTTGCTGAAGTGCACCCCCTTTAAGAGACATTGCAATTCTCAGCCTACATTAATTTTATTAAATGCTTGGAAAAAAGGTTTTATACACATGCAGAAATATCTGCTCAATACATATGCAGCTGCCATTACCTTAAGCTCGCCATACACTATTAGATTTACTTCTTAAAAAAAAAAAAGAAAATAATCTGGTTCCTCCATTCATGCTAAACAGTGTGAAAGTGCAAAGCTTCTGCTGTAGTTATTGTATTATGACAGCCGGTGCCTGCATCTGTCAAAATATATGAACAGTCGATTACTGAATTGACTTTTGCGGCCAGCAGACTCTAAAAATTTCAGCCGAAAATCAAAGAGTGTATGGCCTGCCGTAGACTGAAAATAAACATACTGCATTGCTTAACTGATTCTTTCTTAGAAGTCTCACTACAGGGATACTGTCCACAGTACCGTATATGAGGAGAGCCACCTGAGGGAGAATCTACACAACTGAATATGAAATACAGATGCAACATAAGATTGGAAAAGGTGCATCAACATTTCATTTAAGGTAAACACTGAAAAGAGAATTGTAAAATTGTTCTTGCTGAAAAAGACACAGCAGTTTTCCTTTACCATCAGAGCTTACTCAATGTGAGAGATGCAATAGAAATATCAGGAGGGGAGAGCCGCAAGTCCTGACAAGACCTCTGACCTTTACACACAGCCTACAGTAGACCTAAAGAGTCTCCCAGATGTTAGGGCTGAACAAATGAAGACGCACAACCCCATCTCCAGCTATATTTTGATTTGCAGCACATTTCTGATACAGTTACTTTATAAATATAGCCAATATTTACATAAATATCCTTTAAAGTGTATGGACAACTCATACACTTGTTTTTAGTTTTGGATAGAGTAGGGAAGGGTTCAAACTCAAGTCAGGTTATTGCTGTCTATGTCCTGCTGGGAAGATGACCCTTCACTTCCTGTCCTGGACACACAATGGAAAGTGAGAGGAAATCTTCTTGCAGTACGGGGAATTACTATGATCGAAAGTTCTCACAGAGACAGCACTGGATGATTTATATCCACCTCTTGCTTCCAAGACGACTAAAAAATGTTGGATTTTCCCTTTTTTCACCAGGATGAACCTGTTAAACCTGTTATTAAGGGAAATAAAATAACTGCCTCGCCTGACCTATTTTTTTTTTTTTTAATTTTAGTTGCCTGGCCATCATGTTGACTCACTGGCTTCATTATTTCTGAATCAAGCACACAGAACAAGTATGCAGACCAAAACACATAACTTCACTGGCTGCATAATTTTTTACTGAATACAGAAGCCAGTGAATTACTATGAGAGCCAGTCCATTAACATTTTTAAAAGGACATCAAAAATGGCATCTTTCATATTTCTGTCATGACATCATTCGTTTAATAGACGCTAGCTTACATGTGTTTTTAAACCAATTATAGACAAACTTTGTAAAATCATAATGAATAGGAACACTGTAAGCTGAGAAATACACTGAGTGGCCAGATTATTATGACCACCTGATGTTTGTAGGCAAATTAGCTATAATTAGCTATAATTTTGCGCTGAAGTTGCTAGAGGACCAGACTATTATAAATAGGGAAGCAGGTTGTTTACCACGACAGTAGAAGTGATTTTTTTCTGAAGATATGGGTAAACAACGCGATTTAACAGCCTTTGAACGTGGGGTGATTGTTGGCGCTCAAGCCATGGAGCAAGTATCAGCAAAACAGCAGAATTCGTTAAATGTTCAAGAGCAGCTGTTGTTAAAGTGTTTAAAGACTGGACTGTCAGGCGAAAATCTGGGTGTGAACGTGCGAATTGTGTCCGTCAGCGACTAGTCAATGTTAGGGCAGAACGGAGAGTGGCAAGACTGGTACAAGACAACAGAAAGGCAACAGTGCAGTGTCAGATTCCTCACATCACCTTTCAACATCTCGTGGAGTCATCTCGTGGCCCAGCGAAGTACTGATGGGGTGGTCATAATAATCTGGCCACTCAGTGTATATTCACTATGTCAAAAATCAGAAAAGATAGTGTGTCAAAAGGTCCACACATTCCAGGTTCCAGTGTTAACCTAAAAATGTTTATTTAATTTGAGCACCAAATTAGGGGTTGGAAACTTCCTTCTGCAGTATTTGAAAATTAAAAACAAGAACACAGCTCAAACCAACATGTCTGCAATGTGTATCCCCACTGCATCAACCTCCTGTGCTTGTACTAGCCTGTGACACATGACTGAGGAGCGGACATGAGTGACCTGATCTGTTGCCCAATATGACACTGGAGTGAGGATCAGGTCCTTTGGGGTTACCTTAGGAGGTGATCATGAGCACTTCTATTGTCGGAAGTGCTTGTTATGGCTTATAGAGATTTTAAAGCTTGTTGGAAAATCTCTGTGTGACCTAGCTGATCCTTCCTTCTCCTGAATGAAAAGAGGGAATGACATCTGGCAGGCAGTTTGCACAAAAAATAGCAGTAGTTGGTCCCAATGCCACTGCTAGCAGGCAGGTAACTGTTGCCATCTTCAGAGAAACATCTGCCTGTCTATGTCTAGCCTACCTTATCCTAAAATACATCATAAAGCCATATGCTTATAGTAAATGTTATCTGCCTCAAAGCAAAAACTGAACTATATTTCTTGTACTAAATTAAAGAAATGATGCAGTGCAAGAAGAGCAGCTGATGCTAGTCAGAGACTAAAGCAAACAGTTTACATTCTGGGACAGTTCTCTAAATACAGCGAAAACTACATTAAGTAGTAGAATTCTGGTCACCTTACCCAAATCTCTAAAAATGTTTAAAACAGTAATTATTGATGCACCAATACCGAAACAAGTACTTGTACTCGCCCAAATGCTCCCGATATTTATCCCGATACCGAAACTTCCGGTATCAGAAAGCCGGACGGGGAGTCATTACACGCCACCCGGCTTCCTTATTGGCGGAGAAACCGGCTGCATGTTCTCTCATCACCAGGGAGCTGGCTTCCCAGCCAACTAGGAAACTGGGGCGGCTTGTGATGACTCGCCGCCCAGCTTCCTGATTAGTCAAGAGGCCATCTCCATGCACCCCCGTCACCATGTGACGACAAAAGCAAGGAGCCGGCTTTCTGGCAATAAGGAAGACGGGGGACGGGTAATGACTCGTTGCCCGGCTTCATGATTGGTCGGGAAGCTGGCCAATCAGGAAGCCAGGAGGTGAGTCATTACCTACCATGTGGCTTCCTGATTGGCCAGAAAGTCGGCTCCATGACTCCTCGTTACCTGGTGATGGGGGAGCACGAAGATGGCTTCCCGACTAATCAGGAAGCTGGGCGGCGAGTCATTACACGCCATCCGGCTTTCTTAGTGGAACTTCCAGTATCGGTATTTGGTATTGGCGGGTACCAAAAAAAAAAATATCGTACTCGATACCAAAAAAACAGTATTGGTGCATCCCTAATAATAATGGGTGCAAACTAAAACAGATTAACATGAATAGCATTATATAAGAAGAACACATACTTGCTGAAACCCAAGATAATCCTGAATTGTGGATGAGGAAAAGAAGACAAGACCATCTGCAGCAATTACCAAGACAAATCCATTGAGTGCCTGAAAGAGATGGAATCACACAATGAACACTCTACTACTTTAAAACATTTTAGAATTATTCCCACAGCTTAATGTGAAGTAAAATTTACTTTGTGACATAACCATATACACAAATATATAGAACTCACTGATGTTTTCATGTTCTGAAAGACACTTGCCAGCACTTTGGCACTATTGTTAGTTTAAGAATCCCGTTCCCACAACACTAGGTTCTCCAATTATTTGTTCATTTTGCTTCATGGGGGATGCAGTGGCCCAGTAGTTCAGCATAACTGGGAATTGTGGTGGTCAAATCCCAACACTGAAATCCCCAAGAGAAAGAAGCCAGCATATGGTGGTGGTCAAATCCCAACACTGGAATCTCCTAGAGAAAGAAGCCAGCATATGGATCTGGGTCACAACTATCAATTGTGGGTGGTGTTGGCATTTGGCTTCTATATATACCTTCAGCTATATACCTTCTACATACTGTAATAGAGGTAGAGAGAATATAAACACACAATTTTGTAGTATCAACAAACCTATGTGCAACGCATGTAGTATACAGAGATGGTGTACAGTAATTTAAAGGAGTAGTGCAAATATTAATTAGGAAACGGTATGCTATGGCGGTGGCCTTTGTAGCAGTGCTTTATCCATAAAGTATTGCAGAATATTCACATTGCCAACTCTAGACAGAGGTCACATGAGGACTTGTCTACCACAGGGAGACACAAACAGGATAACATACAAAAGAAAAACTTTGCTCTCACGTCTGTCTTTGTTATTCCAAAAGGCAACAATCCTATGAATTGTGTTTCCTACACACAGAGCATTCTATAAACCATCACATGACAATTTAATCTATAGTATACTGTATATATCAGCCCTGATGCCTGAAGCTCCAGTATCATATACTGCATGCCAATGTTGACATTTAAAGAAACACTAAACTCAGTACTTAAATCTTAAAAATGCATTCAAGCATCTTAACTATTAACAAAAATGTAGCTTATTTGTGTATCACTCAGCTGTAGATCCTAAAATCATCTCTGAATTGGTGCTGACACTGTCCGTCCTTCTGGAGTGTGACTTTTTTTGTTCCCCATGGTCCCTGTGTGTGTTGTGAAGTAGCCACCACTCTGAGCTCACTCCCACGATGGACTACATTCTCACATTTAGTTTATTAATTTGTATTGAAATTGTAGTCCATCACGGGAGTGAGCTTGAAGTGGTGACTACTTTACCAACACACACAGGGACCCTGGGGAACAAAAGTAGCCACCCTTCAGAAGGAAGGACAGTGTCAGCACCAATTCAGAGATGGTTTGAGAGTCTACAGACGAGTGATACACAAATAAGATACATTTTGGTTAATAGTTAGGGTAACTGAATGCATTTTTAAGATTTAACTCCTGAGTTCAGTGTCACTTTAAAGCATTACTGCAGGTAATAATAATAAGTCATGATTCATCAAAAGATACAAAGTTTCACTGAAAGCTGGGAAATGAAGGGAATTCCAGCCAGAAGTGGTTTATGGGAAAAGGGAACTCCAGAGAGTTTCCTGCTCTTTATAGCTAAACTCTGGGTAGATATTAATGACACCAACTTATGCAACTCTGTATTCACTAATAAACTAAATGTATAGTTAAATGCAATGTAAGTAATGTATATGTCCACATATTTTAATCTATAATACAGCAGCATTCAGAAGATGAATGAGAGAAAACAGCATTGGGAGCGAATCAGGTGAGCTGCGTGCAAATATGCTGACGAGGAAAGTGCTGGCAGGAGAAAAAAGCAAACTGAGCAGAGAGATGACTTCATCAGTCAACTGGCATCCGAGTCTTCACTGGCCAACTAACAGACTGGGCTCAAGGTGATGTCAGCAGTGTAATGCTTAACTGTGGCAGGACTGTATAGCTCTCAGGACAGAAATGTTTCTGTGTAGTTAAGAGGTTTGCCACGAGTTCAGCTTTAAACTGTCCATAGTGTAAATCAGCATCAGTATTGGAAAATCAGCTGCTCAATATTTATTTTACAGGTATCTGGAAATTAAAGATTAGTATTTGGTATTGCTGACTCTCATATACATTACAAGCAAATACAAAATTGAGTTAAAGTAATGAACAGACCTGATAAAAATGACTGCTTCCCTTTCTCAAATTAATGATTAGGTCCAAAATCTACTATAACTTCTATATTAGCTGCCAGTGGCGTAACAAGAGTTATGGGCGCCCGGGGCAGAACATTTTTTTTCGCCCCCCCTATTATATAAACATCCACTAGAACTGTACCCCCCACCCCCACACATATCAGCTAAGGAACTACAAGTCCAAGCATGCCATCATCGTCCCTGTACACCCCCACATATCACCCAGGGAACGGCAATATCTGGTTGTTGTACAGGGGCAATGAGGGCATGCTGGGACTTGTAGTTCCCTAGCTGATATGTTATGAAGCTGTATTCCACCTGAAAGTACTACAATGACATTATAGAACTAAGAATAGAGCATAAAATAAAACTTTTTTTTTTCTAATACTCACCTGATTTCTGGATCCACCAACAAGTGTAGCCTCCCGTCTCCCACGCTGTTAGAAGTTGCTTACAGCGTGTGCTGGTTACTACTTAAACCGGAACGCGCTGTGTGCAGCTTCTGAGAAGATACGCTATGAGCATAGCGGGGAAGGCGGCTGCGCTAATAGCGTATCTTCTCAGAAGCTGCACACTGCGCATGTGAGTTTAAGTAGTAACCAGCACACGCTGTATGCAACTTCTAACAGCGTGGGTGACGGGAGGCCGCGCTTGTTGGATCCAGGAATCAGGTGAGTAGTATTAAAAAAAA